TGTTGATTTGTGTTTGTGCAATATTATCGAATTCTCACGTGACAGTTGTTTTTGCTCCGATTTCTCGTTCGCTTCATTGCAGTAGTTTGTTGACCCGGGTCTCTGTTGCAAATGAGACGCCTCTCCTGGTCACTCGAGATCTCACCTCGTGACGCGACATCAACTTGGGCAGTCGACGGGGATCGTCCCGTTGGCTCACTGGCTCTCATCTTTCTTCCGATATTAGGACGTCATTTGACCTACGCACTTTTTAAATTTCAATTTGACAACTCAACCGTTTGGAACTTATTTTGTGTTTAGTTCGTTGTCCTTCTCCCGCACCTCCGATTAGCGGGGTTGGATACATACGGTGCGAAAGAAGTTCAACATACACACGTCATGGGAATGTGGAATGCCCACCGTTGGTTCAGGACTACCAGTTGAGGTGGGCACCACCCCGTTGCTGTTCTACGGAGGGAGATACTCACACGATGTACTTATTCATTCATTAGGGAAAGCCTCGCCGAGTCTTGGGGCAGTACGGCAGGAGGGTCCTGCCTCGGAATGTTTGGCCGATCCCTTTTCACCGGGAGGGTTTCGCCTGTGGCACTAAAAAACTGGAACGGTCGGAGAGAAAGCGCCCAAGATGATAACACTCGGACAACTGCCACCAGCGTAAAGTCAGCAGCAACCCGCTTGCCGCACTGCCACGGCCCGACAAGCTGCTCGCAAGCCAGCAGGCTGGACATGCCACAGCACAATTATAACAACAGAAACAACACGAATTGAGTATGTTTCTATAGTCTTAGTTCGAGAAGTATGTTTCTATGCTCGACGGCGCAAGGCCATCCACACACAGGACGCTGTGTTACGCAGGACACGACTTGTCTCACAATCAGAATATTTATTTAGACTGGAGAAATCCGACGAGCTATAAAGCTCCGTAAAGTTGTGTTTCGCAGACGTCCAATGAAATGAAAACGTGATTATTTTACCAGCTAAAGCCCCACTCAGCTCGTCGCTTCTTTTTAAATCCTTTATATTAAGTTCACTTGCTTGTTTGCTTGCTTGCTTGCTTAGGACCGTGCAAATCTTTCGGTCGTTTTTAAACCCACTTCCCGTAATCCAATCGAGCTGACATTTTGCACACAGACTCGTTGTGCGTGACAGTTTATTTTCGTGAAAAATTTTTCCAAAATTTTCCACTTTTTAGGAAAAGAAAAATTTCATATTCAATTTAAAATACCAATGTGATAAAAATGAAACTCTTACTCAATAAAAACAGAAATGAATAATAAAATAAAACCGATGCCACGCATATAAAGGATTTATAGTGAAAAACTTTGTTTTTACGGGTTAATTTTTTCAGAAGCGATCTGGCTATCACCAATGATAGCTCAACGAAGTGGCTTATTACGTGGAAATTTATGGCAACCAATCTAAATTTTTCAAAAAAAATAGTCTGCACATGATCCACCACCACCACCCATGGCTCCCGATTCACAGCGCAGCTCTTGGCCGGTCCTTCTGTCAGTTACGCGTGCAATAATAAGATTATATTAATTGCTCTGGCCTGCATTTGACCCTGACGACAGAGGCTTTCCAATTGATCATTTCGGAAGCATCTTGACTCGTTAAACGATCAAAGTGAAAGTGTGTGCCGTGTTTTTTTTTTAGTATGACTCTTTAATTACAGGAGTTTAATTATAGGTTGCAGAAATGGTTAGACAAAATGTTACATTGTGCAGAATGTCCCGTGTGCAATTATGTGTGGTTAGCTGTAGCATCGTAAAGAGTGCGCTGTTCTGAACCCGGCGACCCGAGTTCGATTCCCGCTCACGGCCACCAACACCAGCGACGATTATCTGAACCGGTCCCGGGCCTCCCCTAGGTCGACTCAGCCTCAAACGAGTATCTGGTGCAGTCTGTAAGCATCGCCACTGGGGAGACAAAAGCGGTCGGGCGTGATGCTGGCCATCCACCCCCTCATGTATCGTGCCGGATTTCATACGCGCTAACATCACTTGCCCCACAAGCCTGTTAAGGCTACACGGGGGATCTTTGGCTTGTCTTTGCCGTGTATATATGTTTGTTGTGGAGAGCGGTAGTTTAGTGATTAGCGCACTGCACGATGAACCCGGTGACCCGAGTTCAATCCCCACTCACATTGGGGACGAATAATCTGAACTGATTCTGGGACCCCCCCCCCTAGGTTGACTCAGTCTTAAATGAGTACCTTGTTTAGATACGATTATATCTCAGCACTCGAGGGCAGATGGCCAGGCAAGGTAGTAGCAACAGCTCTCATCCGTGTGCTGTGGCAGCCATAATAGGCGCCGTCAAACAGCACATCTACCATGTAATCTATCATAATTGTATTTCTTTACCCGTGAAAGCCTCACTGAATTTGAAGACGCTTTTTTTTCAGCAGGGTACTACTGCTGCTGCGTGTACTCACAATTGAGTAGCGGACTGGTACAACTTTTTTGAACGTGGGGGTGGGGGGATTATTTGTCCAACACCAGTTACATCATCCTGTGGTTTCTTACTCGCCATGGGAGAAAACCCGTGCGGAACAGGCGAAGAACAAACTCCGCACGGAGAGGACGCCAGAGCGCGGAGTCGAACCCACGTGGTGCTTCTCTCCGAGGTGTCTCGCCGCTTTACTGCGACCCTGATATAAGAGTGTTCACAAGCCTCCCTGGTTCAGAAGCATGTCGTCTCAATTGATGTACTGATTTGTTGTTGTTGTTCCAAGTCTGCATTAACTAATTCTGGCATAAAATTCCCTTATAAACAGCACAATTCAAAGGATGTCTTTATTTCAAACAATGCAACCATTACAGTGCGTTCCCTAACCATCATTCCAGAAAGCCGATATCTCAATCCAGCAGGCGTTCCGCTCGTGTCATTATGCACCGCAGTGGTGTAATGCCATTTGCCAGGCCCAAGTTATTCCTGCGCCGTGGTCTCTGCGAGCGGGCTTACAATCTCATTAAAAGCTGGCCGCATTTCCAGGACGTTTTAATTTGTAAATGCATAAGGAGCAGGGAGCAGGGAGGAGAAGGGGGAGAAATTAACCGTGCGGTCAAGGGATTTTTCTACTCCAGCACGAATTGTCAGCTCGTTTCTCCAGCCCACGGAGGCTGCGAGCTTGTTTCGAATTAGTTTTTTTTTTCACATTTTATATTTGGACATTCTATTTCGGCACGCTATCCCCCCTGCGGTCGTGTGGGCTATTCGAGTCATGCCCAAGAGGCGATGAGACACCTGCTCCAAAACGAGCTCCTTCCAGGTGGCAGAGCTTCGCGTTAGTGTCAGGGAATGACTCCCCTCACCCCACAGAAGATGATACCCCAGAACCACTTCCGAGTCACTTCAGTTTCGGGCTCAGTCATCCAACGCTGGAGGGCGCTCCATCGCGCTGTGTAAGCTCTGGGTCACCGCGAGACCGTCGGCTGAGATCGTCGTGAAATATAGTCCTCGCCACTGGACAATGATGAATGAAATGCAATAATTTCGTTCGTGCAGTCGTTGTTGACTAGGCGGAGACCGTCAACGACGCTAAGGTGATGATCGTTATCCCTAACCTGGATTCAAACTCAGGGCATATATGCAATGTCATTTCAGTGGCTCAGTGTCTCCCCGGCCTAGGCATTTATGAGACACCGGGCTTGAACCGGGGTCTCGCAGCAGGAGGCCACTCTCACCCACAACAAGACGTCGTCTCTCACTTGTTATTACCAACCTTTTTTTTACCGAGGAAGGCCTCAGTGAGTCTCAATTGTATTTTCTCAGGAGTGTCCTGCCAAGTTTATGCAGGGGTGCTGATGGCCGTGTGTAATGCCAATTGAGTCATTTGTGGGACATTTTCCAGCATTCAGATGTTTGGTTAATTCCATTGTTTTTTTGTTGTAAGTTATGAGAGGAAAACGGCGAATGTAGAGGAAACCCAATGCTGAACAGGGAGAGGTCATACAAACTGCACGCAGAAAAGAGGCACCAAGTCAGGAATCGAACCCAGGCTCTTCTTGTTGAGGCACGAGTATTGTTACCCACTGCACCACGCGGCCACGCAATGAAATCAATGGTATGCCTTGTCAGTCAAACCAGTTGAGTTTAATGCTTACAGCTGGGCTTGACTGACGCAAGATTGACCACGTGTTTAATGCGAGATGCTTTCATCCTGCGGTCATTGATGACCCTGGCTGGGACAATTGCCCCCCTCTCTCTCTCTCTACACTAGGGAACCCGCCTTTCATTATGGGCGGCTGAGAATGCACACTCGAAAACCAGGACTCACTCCGATGTCTCCTGGAGGCCACGGTGAACTATTTGAAACAGAAACGCGTGAAGGCTCAGAGTTCGTAGTGGTGCCACCGGGGTCGATGCGATTCGTCCACGGTGAACTGATATATTCCCAATTCACCTTTGCTCAAAGTCAAAATCGCAGTGTCTTCCTCCCTGTGCGCATGAAAACAAATCATGGGAGTGGTTGCTCCTTTTTGTTGTCGATGTTCAGCCAGCCAGTGATGGAAATTCCACCTTTCCTACGCTGGGGACCAAGCCTGCCCTGACTTATTTATTTCTCCTGTCCCCCAAATAAAAGATGTTACGCGTTTCATAGTTCTGGAAAATATTTTAGTAAAATCACACTCAATTGAAATGTAAACGCTCGTCTTGCGTACGGCTAAAGGGGACCCGATTGAAACGTTGAACAGTTGACATTAAATTACTTTCGATGCGTCTTTTTTTAAATAACAACGAATAATCAATTTCAGATCTTTTATTTTTTATAATTGTTATTATATAACCAGGCGAGACCACGATTATAATCGTTGGGAGTTGACGCGTACGTACGGGTGGCACCGCAATCAAGAACGTCACGATTCCGGTGATAAGATAAAAGAGTTTTCACATCACAAGGCATGCACACAAATTGTGTGACTCGCTCTCCCACTCGCTCGCACTCGCTCCCTCCCTCCCCTCTCTCTCCCCCTCTCTCTCTCTCGCTTTCTCTCTCTCGCTGTGCCGCAAGCACTCGTATTAAGCCTCGGTGGAGACACCAAGCTTGCCTTCCACCACGGTGTGTCTGCGTGCAGCACCCAAGAAGCCAGCTCTGGGAACACGCTCGGCTTAGCCTCGCCTCTCACATTCATTCGAAGCATCATCCTACACCGCTTCTCTATTTCTCGCTCACACACACACATTATCGTCGCTTTCATCTATGCCACCGCCTGTGTGTCTATCACAATCTCTGCTTTGAGTCATCTGGTGCCGTGTATTTTATTGTGTCGTCGTTTACGCAGCGATATCTCCCACGTGTGATGTCTGTGATGCTCTCTCAGTGATTTTGTTGAAGGGAGAGAGAAAAAAAAACAATGCTCACAGTTCACATGGCATGTTTCTGTTACGATATATAATTAATTCGTAATCTTATGGTTTCCATCAGATTCTGTTCGTCTTTGAAAGGTTTTTTTTACATTTGCTTTTTGAGGTATAGGCTCACCTAGCCACATGTATGTGAGTTTTTGTTTCTGTATGTAAGTATTATTTTTGTATCCCAATATTGTATTTGTGTCCGATTACATTTCCAAAGCATGTAATGTCCATAACTCATCCACGCACACCACATCACACGGCTGTGGGAATTACCCAGGGTGATAAAAAAACATCACAATACAGCAACGTACACACACTCACTACACACACACTCACTCGTACACTCACCACCCACACTGATACTCACTACACACACTCACCACACACACTGATACACTCACTACACACACACACTCACTATACACACACTCACACTGATACACTCATTACACACACTCACCACACACACTCACAACACACACACTCACCACACACACACTCACCACACACCCTCACCACACACACTCACCACACACACACACGCGCACCATGCGAGTTAAATAGCAGCAGTCATCATCCAAGAACCTCTTCTTGAGCCGCATTCATTTCCCTCCTCTGCGGAGCGACTCGCATCCAAGTCGCACGCGACTTCAGCCAAGACCACAACACACACAGAGAGACTTCAGCCAAGACCACAACACACAGAGAGAGGCATGGACCCTCGGCTTGCCGCTCTCTTCCATGCTGTGCTGTGTCTGCTCCCTCCTCCCGGCTTCTCTCAGGTGAGTCTCTCTCTCTGTCTCTTTATCTATCTCTATGTGTGTCTCTCTGTGTGTGTCTCTCTCTATGTGTCTTTGTCTCTGTGTGTCTCTCTCTCTGTGTCTCTGTCTCTCTCTGTGTGTGTCTCTCTGTCTCTCTCTCTGTCTCTCTGCGTGTGTCTCTCTCTGTCTCTCTCTGTGTGTGTGTCTCTCTCTCTCTGTCTCTGTGTGTGTGTCTCTCTGTCTCTCTCTCTGTCTCTCTCTGTGTGTGTCTCTCTCTCTCTGTCGCTGTGTGTGTGTGTGTCTCTTTATCTCTGTGTGTGTGTGTGCGCGTAGTTGCTGCGCTGTGCGTGAACCCCGTTAGACGCGAACGTCCCGCACAGAGGGCGTCGATTGTAACGTGAGACGCGCACGTGGCGCATCGATGTTGGAAAGGGGTCTGTGTTGTGGTGTTGTTGTGTTGTTGTTATGTGTTGTTGTCGTGTGGTTGTGTTGTTGTTGTGTGTTGTTGTTGTCGTGTTGTGTGTTGTGTGTTGTTGTCGTGTTGTTGTGTTGTGGTGTGTTGTTGTTGTGTTGTGTCGTGTTGTGTGTTGTTGTTGTCGTGTTGTTGTGTGTTGTCGTGTTGTGTTGTTGTCGTGTTGTTGTGTTGTCGTGTTGTTGTTGTGTTGTTGTGTGTTGTCGTGTTGTTGTTGTTGTCGTGTTGTGTAGCCGGAGCGGTTCGCGCGCTGTTACCAATTTGTCGACCCGAGTTCGATTCCCGCTCGCTCACGACAGCTACGAGTGAGAATTTCTTAACCGGTCCTGGGCCTCCCCTAGGTCGACTCAGCCTCAAAATCAGTACCTGGTGCGGTGTGTAGTAGACATCGCCACTGGGGATACAAAGGCGGCCGCGCGTGGTGCTGGCCACCCACCCCCTCGTGTGCCGTGCCGGCTTTCATAGGTGCTGCTCGCTAACAGCACTTGCCCCAATAGTCTTTTAAGGCTATACGGGGGATCTTTGTGGACGTTTGCTGTGATAAGTGTAGATCCGTGAGGCGGTGGTTACGCCTCGGTAGCGAGATGTTGACTACCTCGCCTGTTCTACAGTAGGTCATAGGTTGGATCACGACCCTGACGCCTGCTGCTGCTGTATATTTTTGTTTGTGTGTCTCCTCTCTTCCCGTGGTCGCGTGGATTTTTCTCCTACGTATTAAACTATATGTGTGTGTCTGTATATGTGTTAGTGTGTGTGTCTGTGTGTGTGTCAGTGTGTGTGTCAGTGTGTGTGTGTGTGTCAGTGTGTGTGTGTCAGTGTGTGTGTGTCAGTGTGTATGTCTGTGTGTCTGTGCGTGTGTGTCAGTGTGTGTGTCAGTGTGTGTGTGTGTCTGTGTGTGTCAGTGTGTGTGCCTGTGTGTCTGTGTGTGTGTCTGTGTGTGTCAATGTTATGGGTGTGGGGGAGCGGTAGAGTAGTGGTTAGCGCTACGCTACGAGCCTGGCGACCCGGGTTCCATTCCCGCTCACGGCCAACACCACCAGTGACGATTATCTGAACCGGTCCTGGGCCTCCCCTAGGTCGACTCAGACCCGAATGAGTGCCTGTTACGGTGTTTAAACATCGCCACTGGGGATACAAAGGCGGTCGGGCGTGGTGCTGTCCACACACGTGTACTGTCCCGACCTTGCTAGGTGCTCGCTGACTGCTCTTGCCCCCACAGTCTGTACAGGCTATACGGGGGATCTTTGTTGTGTGTATGTGGGGGGGCGGTAGTGTAGTGGTTATCGCACTGTGCTCACGATCAATAACTGGCGAATTAAACCACTTAAAAGCATCCCCTAGGTCGACTCCGTCTTAAATGGGCACCTGGTGCGTTGTGTAAACATCACTACTGGGAAGACAAAGGCGGCCGGGGGAGCCCTTCATTTGTGCCGTGCCGGCCTTCACAGCTGCTCCATAACAGCTCACAGCATTCTCTCTCCAACAGGCAGCGACGTATTTAGATCGAAAACTCATTCCTTTAGAACTGCGTTTTTGTGTTTCGGTTGTTGAATGTCCTTCGGGGTCCTCCGATTAGCGCGGTTGGCTACGTACGGTGCGAAAGAAGTTCAACAAACAGCTGTTCGCTCGCTCGCTCGCTTCTCAGTACGCTTTGTCCTGGTGAGGGTCGCGGCGGCAGATGTTGAGTCGTGGAGGTGCACACCTCCCTTTGCCTAGCTCCAGACTCGAGCTCTACACGACACTGATATATCTTATTGGTTCTTTCGGTAAAATCACGTAGAAGGAAAGTAATAAAATAATAAAAATACAACATAATTAAATAATTCTCACGACGTTTCGGCCACAACGCAAGCAACCGTCTTCAGGTGGAGAACAGGTCTGTCAAGTAGACAGAGTCTGAATGGCACGCCCCAGGCTTGGAGCGACTATTTATGCTTTGATGGAGGGGCGAAGAGCGTCTTGACAAAATAATTTGCATATTAAGAGGAATTTAGCATATTTATGGGAAATGCAGATGTGCGATTAGTACTACTTGTGAAATGCGTAGGAGGTTTGGCGAGGGGTTTAAAGTCATTATGCCCGTGCATTATGCAGGATTAGCAGCATCAAAGGGAGGGAGTAAGGGTAGAATTAATAAAGGGATGGAATGTTAATAATATGGCGCCGCCATATATATATACTACACTATACACTACTATACACTACACTACTATACACTACACTATACACTACACTATACACTACACTACTATACATTACACTACTATACACTACACTACTATACATTACACTACTATACACTACACTAATATATACACTACACTATACACTACTATACACTACACTATACACTACACTACTATACACTACACTATACACTACTATTATACACTACACTATACACTACTATACACTTACGATACACTACACTACTATACACTACACTATACACTACACTATACACTACACTAATTTTCTAATTCCATTTGTTTTTGAAGTCAGCTGGGCATTCCATTCACATGCCGGGTTACGACTCTATTCAGAATCAGAATCTTCATTTAGACTGCAGGAGATGGAGGAGGAATCCGATGAGCGATGAAGCTCTTGTTATCACAGATGTCCAGCACAAGAGGATCAGTAAAGATGCAACAAAAACAACAAAATAGAGAAAAGGGTAAAGAGAAATGCATTAATTATACGAGGGGCCGTCCATAAATGACGTCACGCACCTAGGGGAGGGGGGGGGTCAGACATTTGTGACGATGTGTGATGAGGGGGGGGGGGTTGAGAAATGTGACGTCACATCAAAATGCGAAACTTTAAATAAATATAGACAACACGTTCTACTTAATTAAATAGACTTTTTTTTAATGTTTTCTCCTACAGCATCACAATGACAATAGTTTAAAGCGATTTGAAGCATGTTTTTTTTTTTGGGGGGGGGGGGGCAGAGCTTTGTGACGTCATATTTGAGGGAGGGGGGGGTCCAAGAATAACAATTGGCGACTGCCCCACACAGCGATGTTAGTCTTGCAGTTATTACCTTACTGCGGGGAGCGGTGGCGCATTGATTAGCGTCAATGCCCCTACGAATCTGTCCGAGCGAGTTCGATTCCTTCCCGCTCACGGGCCAACATCTGCAACGAATTCCCGGACCGGCCATGGATGTCTCAAGCTGCCGTGAGCGCCTGATGCGATGTGTCGATGTCACCACGAGGGAGCATGATGGAGGCAAACGTGGCCGTGTGTGATGCTCGCTACCCACCCTCTCGCATGCCGTGCCGACCTTCAGAGGCTGTTGTACCAACAGTTTAAGGCTATACGGCGCATCTTTGTCATGGTATTGATCGTACGTTGTCCGGTATCTATATATAAAAACCCAAACACGTGCATCAATAAGTGTGGCCTTCAAAGGGAAATAACCGTAACGGGTGATGTTTCGGGCAATAACCCTTTTTCAAAGCACATTAGAGGATCGATTCCATATTGTTTTGATGATCGATTCAATCTTTTCAGTGTTGTTATTGAGGAATGTATTGTGGCTGTGTTACGTGCGCGTGCATTGTGAACCGCTGCCAATTCAGCAGCATCACTAAATCATTTGGGTTTAGGATGTGGGTGCAGTACAGTTCGAAAACGTGGCCTGCTGCTTAGAGGCGCACATGTTCGCGTGGGGAGCGGTGGGTCCAATGGTTAGCGCGCTGCAATCGAACCCGGGCCACCAGAGTTCGATTCTGGCACACGTCCAAACAGCCGTGACGAGAATTCTATCTGAGCCCGTGTGTGTGTGCGTGTTACTATACCTAACCCCAGGTCTGCTTAGCCTTAATTGAGTACGTGGTGCTGTGTGGCTGTACCCCCTGTGAAAATATTGGACATATCTTCTTGGTTCTTTCGGTAAAGTCACGTAGAAGGGAAATAATAAAATAATAAAAATAAAACATAATAAAATAATTCTCACGACGTTTCGGCCACAACGCAAGCAGCCGTCTTCAGGTGAAGAACAGGTCTATCAGACGCTGTCTTTCCGACAGACCTGTTCTTCACCTGAGGACGACTGCTTGCGTTGTGGCCGAAACGTCGTGAGAATGATTGCATTATGTTGTATTTGTATTATTTTATTATTTCCCTTCTACGTGACTTTACCGAAAGAACCAAGAAGATGAATCCCTGCAGTCACGAAAGCTTTAAATCGATATTGGACATCTATGAAAAATAGTTTTTTTAGCTCATCGGACTCCTCCAGTATGAATACATTCAGATGATGATCAGCAATGGGGAGACAAAGGCGGTCGGGCGTGGTGCCAGCCACCCACCCCCTCGTGTGCCGTGCCGGCCTTCATAGGTGCTCCCTAACAGCACTTGCCCCAACAGTCTGTTAAAGGCTATACGGGGGTCCATTGCCTTTGTGATTGACTAAAACCCGAGCTCAACGTCTCATTGGGCCCATGAACTTAATTACAGGTTCGTACAAAAATGTAATTCATCTTTAAATGTTCTCATTTTCTCAACAATGCAAGCACCACGTCGATATATCCCTGATCAACAT